TTTTTTTTGGCAACTGTCACCCCAGAGCTAAAGAGGGAGAAGCACCGCCAGACCAACTCTTGCCATTTCCAGTCAGAAGTTGCAGACTGCATGTAGCTGCCTCTGCTCTGCCGAGAGAGGGACGGGAATGGTGTGCAGTGCAGAGTGGAAAATACCCCCGCTCTAAGAAGTGCACCGGATTTTTCTCTTGCTGTTTGTTTGGGTTGTTGCGTGCACGTTAGGCACCCAAAGGATCGCCGCTTCGTAGGAATGAAACGTGGAGAGGATGACTAACGACAGAACTGTGAATTTGTTCCCTGGAGTTGCTAATTTGCCACCCCGAAGCAACACATATCTCGAGGAGGAAGCGTTTGGCTGCTGCTGATTTCGCCAAAACTGGTGGTTTACCAGATGCATTGTGCTGTATCTGCTGGAACAGATCATTGCTTAGCTGCAGCAGATCGTCAAAGGTAGACAACTAACGTAAGTGCAAAGTTACCCTTACAGTGGGATGCATTTCCTTTAAAGAAAAAAAAAAAAAGCAAAAAAAAAAAAAGCCTACACGCAGTATATTTATCTAGGGAAAGAATCAGTGTTTGGGATTCAGTTGATGTTGGTGGAAAAAGCTCACCTACTCGCTGTCTCTGCATCCCTACCTGCATTACTCTGCTGGAAGTAATCACAGGCATCAGTTACTGTGCAGCTTAATGCAGATAAGATTAGTGCTTAGGGCTGCCTAGTTCCGTCAAACTGTAGGTGCTGGCAGCCTTGCACCCCGATAATGCGCGGTTAGCAGTGCATGCAAACAGAAGTCTGTCAGTCGCTTTTCTTTTTTTTTTTTTCCTTCCACCTGCATTATTAGTCTGCAGTATTTATATGTGGCAGCTGCTAATATAATCCTGAAGTGAGATCAGTGTCAACTGGGAAAAGGCTGCACCTTTTTTTCCTCCTCATGTCATCAGAAAATGTATATTCCCCCCCATCTGTAAACATGCCTCCTGCTTCTAAGTTACATTTGGAATTTCCAGCCTCCTGATTTAGACTGTGTTTAAAATACAAATAAAGTTTTAGGTTATTAAACAGAAGGAGAAGTATCCAACATCTGGAGAAGAAACATTGAGCTGAGAGTGTAAGAAACTGTAAGTCCTGTTATTGTCTCATCAGTTAACAGGGATGTGAAGTAGCCAGTGACGACTGCTGCAGCAGCAGCATGTCCGGGTGGTTATTTCCCAGTACGATAGCTATAGAGGGGCATGCAAGGCACAGCGAGCAGAGAGAAATCTGGTTAGCAAGAGCTAAAAAATACGTATGGAAGCAAACAGCAAATTACATTTGGCAGCTGACATAGCAGTTAGAATCCAGAAGTAGTCCGGGAAGGTTTTTTACTTGCACCAAATGACTGGGTGGAGGAGGGTAGAGGGGGGAATGCACGTTACGGATTACACGGTGTACCGAGAAATTATTCAGAAAGTACGTGTCGAAACAGTAGTTACCCTTAATCCTGCAAGTAGTTATTTTCATTCGTGCTCTGAGCAAAGGCAGCCGATGGGATATTGGTGCATTTGTCCGGAGGGCTTGCTTGTAAAAGGGAGCAGTAGGAAAATGTACTGCTGGAAGCGTGCATTGCAAAAACAAGTAGTAGTTGGAGATTGTGGATTTATCATGCCTAAAAAAACAATAATGCTGTTCTGTGTGGTTGTGTTGACAGTGATGTCTCCAAATAAGAAATGAGATGTAATGCATCCTGCAGTCCATGCATGCCTCCTCTTGCAAATCGCGCATCATTCCTCTCTGGAAACCTTTAAGTCCTAAAATCCGTGAAAAGAGAATAAAAACATTATCATGGACCTGAGGGATTTTTACCTGTTGGCCGCTTTGATTGCCTGTTTAAGGCTGGATTCTGCTATAGCTCAAGAACTTATTTACACTATTAGAGAGGAGCTGCCTGAAAACGTGCCCATAGGGAACATACCAAAGGACCTGAACATTTCTCATATCAATGCTGCCACAGGGACCAGTGCCAGCCTTGTCTACAGACTGGTGTCTAAAGCAGGGGATGCACCTCTGGTCAAAGTGTCCAGTAACACAGGGGAAATCTTTACAACATCTAACAGAATAGACAGAGAAAAACTATGTGCTGGAGCCTCCTATGCAGAAGAAAACGAGTGTTTCTTTGAACTTGAAGTGGTGATTCTTCCCAATGACTTTTTTAGGCTGATCAAAATAAAAATCATTGTAAAGGACACTAATGACAATGCGCCTATGTTTCCATCCCCTGTCATCAATATCTCCATCCCAGAAAATACTCTGATCAACAGTCGCTTTCCAATCCCATCAGCTACAGATCCTGACACAGGTTTCAATGGTGTGCAGCACTATGAGTTGTTAAACGGGCAGAGTGTCTTTGGACTGGATATTGTAGAAACTCCGGAAGGGGAGAAATGGCCTCAGCTGATTGTGCAGCAGAACTTGGACAGAGAGCAAAAGGACACCTACGTGATGAAAATCAAAGTGGAGGATGGAGGTACCCCCCAGAAATCCAGCACAGCTATCCTGCAAGTCACAGTAAGTGATGTCAATGATAACAGGCCAGTCTTTAAAGAGAGTCAAGTAGAGGTCCATATACCAGAGAATGCCCCTGTAGGCACCTCTGTAATTCAGCTTCATGCTACAGATGCTGATATAGGAAGCAATGCAGAAATCAGATATATTTTTGGTGCCCAAGTCGCCCCTGCAACCAAAAGATTTTTTGCTTTGAACAACACCACAGGGCTGATTACAGTTCAGAGGTCCTTAGATCGAGAAGAGACTGCTATTCACAAAGTGACAGTGCTGGCTAGTGATGGTAGCTCTACACCAGCCCGGGCAACTGTCACCATCAATGTCACTGATGTAAATGATAACCCTCCTAACATAGACCTCAGGTACATAATAAGTCCCATCAATGGCACAGTGTACTTATCTGAGAAAGATCCCATCAATACAAAGATTGCCCTAATTACGGTTTCAGATAAGGACACTGATGTGAATGGCAAAGTGATCTGTTTCATTGAGAGAGAGGTCCCCTTCCACTTGAAAGCAGTTTACGACAACCAGTATTTGTTAGAGACCTCTTCCTTGTTGGACTATGAGGGGACCAAAGAATTCAGCTTTAAAATTGTGGCTTCTGATTCTGGCAAGCCCAGTTTGAACCAGACTGCCCTGGTAAGAGTTAAGCTGGAGGATGAAAATGACAACCCTCCAATTTTCAGCCAGCCTGTAATTGAGCTGTCAGTTTCTGAAAACAACCGGCGTGGTCTATACTTAACAACTATTAGTGCCACAGATGAAGACAGTGGGAAAAATGCAGACATTGTTTATCAGCTTGGTCCTAATGCCTCCTTTTTCGATCTGGATCGAAAGACAGGAGTTTTGACAGCCTCCAGAGTTTTTGACAGAGAAGAGCAGGAACGTTTCATTTTCACTGTTACAGCCCGAGACAACGGCACCCCTCCTTTGCAAAGTCAAGCAGCTGTAATTGTTACTGTGCTGGACGAAAATGACAACAGTCCCAAATTTACTCATAATCATTTCCAGTTTTTTGTATCAGAGAACTTACCAAAGTATAGCACGGTGGGGGTGATCACAGTGACAGATGCAGATGCTGGGGAAAATAAAGCAGTGACCCTATCCATCTTGAATGACAATGAAAACTTTGTGCTGGATCCGTACTCTGGAGTTATAAAGTCCAACGTTTCTTTTGATCGGGAACAGCAGAGCTCTTACACCTTTGATGTTAAGGCAGTGGATGGAGGGCATCCTCCTCGCTCTTCTACAGCGAAAGTAACAATAAATGTGATGGATGTTAATGACAACAGTCCTGTTGTCATCTACCCACCTTCTAATACTTCTTTTAAGCTAGTGCCGCTCTCAGCAATTCCAGGATCGGTGGTAGCCGAAGTCTTTGCTGTGGATATAGACACTGGCATGAACGCTGAACTGAAGTACACGATTGTAAGTGGCAATAACAAGGGTTTGTTTCGGATTGATCCAGTGACAGGTAATATCACTCTGGAAGAAAAACCAACTCCTAATGATGTGGGGCTTCATCGCTTAGTTGTCAACATAAGTGATCTGGGTTATCCCAAATCTCTGCATACTCTTGTGCTTGTTTTTTTATATGTGAATGATACTGCTGGAAATGCCTCTTATATTTATGACTTGATACGCAGGACTATGGAAACACCTTTGGATCGGAACATAGGGGACAGTAGCCAACCTTACCAAAATGAGGACTATCTCACTATCATGATCGCTATTGTGGCGGGTGCCATGGTTGTCATAGTGGTGATATTTGTCACAGTTCTTGTTCGCTGTCGGCATGCGTCCAGATTCAAAGCTGCCCAGAGGAGCAAGCAAGGTGCTGAGTGGATGTCTCCCAATCAGGAAAACAAGCAAAACAAGAAAAAGAAAAGGAAGAAAAGGAAATCTCCAAAGAGCTCCCTTTTGAACTTTGTGACCATTGAGGAGTCCAAACCTGATGATGCAGTTCATGAACCTATCAACGGGACAATAAGCCTTCCAGCAGAGCTGGAGGAGCAAAGTATAGGAAGATTTGATTGGGGCACAGCACCACCATCAACCTTTAAGCCTAACAGTCCTGATCTTGCCAAGCATTACAAATCTGCCTCTCCGCAGTCTGCTTTTCATCTCAAACCTGACACTCCAGTTTCAGTGAAAAAGCACCATGTGATTCAGGAACTCCCTTTGGACAACACCTTTGTTGGTGGTTGTGACACCCTTTCCAAACGCTCTTCCACTAGTTCAGATCACTTCAGTGCCTCAGAGTGCAGTTCCCAAGGAGGCTTCAAGACAAAGGGCCCCTTACACACCAGACAGGTAAACGAGCACTTTTACTGGTCTATAAGTACTGCATACAAGTGCCCGATCAACCAGTATTAAAAGTGCCACTGTGTTGTGGGTTGGTTTATTTTTGTTGTTTTTTCTTTTTTGGTTTCATTCTAATTTAATTTAGTTAACATTATGGGGGGAACAAAAAAAAAAAAAACAAAAAAAACCCCAAACCGAACACCAAAACTAGGAACAAACAAACAAAAACCTTGGACTCTTTATCATTTACCCAGGGCTTAACCATGTGTTTGCAAAATGCCTCTGATATTTTGGGTTTTGAAGAATTTTGATTGTTAGAGGAATGTTATGCCTCTGTGCATGTGCACATACGTGTGCAAAAACAAAACTGAAAAAAAAAACTTTTTTTTTTTTCTCCCCAGTATTTAACTGTCCAATTGTAAAACTTATTGAAGAGCTGTTTCCATGTATGCTAAATTTCAGTCAGAAATTTGACTGTTTCAAGGTTGAAGGGATATGTACATTGTTTCAAATTTCAAAGTGAGTTGGCTTGAATTTCTTTTCCAGTTTCAATCTGATTGGGAACCTTGCTAAGTTAGTGTTACTAAAAGGGTTAATCTTTTTCCATAACAAAGACAACCAAATTTCCGAGCTACTTCATCAGTGAAGCACGTGGTTTATTAGTTGGATATAACTAAGCCATACGTAAGTCTTCCTCTTGTTTGAGTTCAGCATGATTTTGTTGTAATTGATGAAGTTTGGTATCGCATAGACAGTTTGCTGCATATTTAAAAAAATTGCCAAAGCATACGTTTGAAAGGAATTCGTTCTCTGAATACATCTGAATTATGCAGGAAAAAGAAAAAAAGTCAGTCCATTGTAAATATTTTCTCATCTTAGTAATGCATAAGTGATCTGACATATCTCATTTTAAACTGTGAAACACGCCATATGAAGAGGGATTAGGAGGCTGAGAGACTCATATTTCAACCAAATCCAGCATTAGGTTTTTTTCCTTAGGTCTAATAATTCCTTGCTAATAAAGATTTAAATGCGGTGCTGTCTTAATTTATTTTACGGGCGCTCGTCGGCGGGCGCCGCGGGAGCGCGCGCGCGCGCTGCCCGTAGATGGCGCCAAGGCACCGCGCGGCGCGCGCTGGCCCCGCGCCAGCCCTGCGGAGGCTGAGGGGGCCGAGAGGGCTGAGGGGGCCGAGAGGCCTGAGGGGGCTGAGGGGGCTGAAGGGGACGAGGAGGCTGAGGGGGCTGAAGGGGCCGAGAGGGCCGAGGGGGCCGGCAGGGTTGGGAGCGCCGGGCCGACGTTCCAGCCAGGGAAGCCTGCACTTAGTGACTGGCTCGGCCTGCGTCTTTGCCAGGCGGCTCTCCCGGTGCTCCGCCGCCGCAGAGGCTCGCTCGGTCGGTGCTGGGAGTCGCATCCGCGCTCCTTGCGGGCGCAGTACCCTCCAAGTGATGGCAATTTGTCTGAATTTATCAGGGATATGGATCCTAGGGAACCAAGAGAGACACAATTAGGCTTGTCTTTGCAAAACGATTTTGACGGTAGCCAAGTTTAGGACAAAGTCATCCTCTCGTTGTTGCGTTAGCCTTATCTGAGATGAATGTGCCGTTCCCAGAAATGTGTCTTGACTTTGCGTGTCTGTAAGGTGTCACACTGACAAGATGCTAAGAATAAAACAAGCACTTTGGAGGCAGTTCTTCTAAAGTAACTGCTCTGACACAACTCTTTCTTATGAGACACTGAAAACACCACAGAAGAATCTCATAAACCCCTAATCTCTCTGAGGGACTTCAAAGAAGGGTCTACTCCCCAGCCATCTCACAGCACTGTACACATACTGTCAGTGTAAGTTAAAAAAACAAAAAACAAAAAACAAAAACAACCAAAAAATTATAGAAGAGCTCTGCATAGTCTGTGCTTACTCATCTGAAGTTTTCTCCTCAATTTTAGTTGCAAAATGCCATCCCCCAAAACCAAACATTCCTTTTCTATTCTGAGATTATTTTAATTTAGGCATAAATTAGCTTTCCAAACTCTATCAGAAAACTCAGACTTAACTCCCCATAGTATCTACAGACAGTTGGGACACCCGGAATTTTTTACCTGACAGAATGTGTAAGCTCTGCATGGCCAAATTAAACATGATGGGGAAAAAAAAAAAAAAAAAAATCCCACACCCATACAAAAACAACTGGTGGTATTTCCAGAGTTATTTTTGCTCATTACATTAAATATGCTGGTCTCCATTTAATAATATCTATAACTATATATATGGACTGGATTCAAATTTCACTGAGGTCTTAGTGTGTCCTTTTTGAAGTAAGCAGATACTCATGATTTGGGTTGCTCCCTGAAAAAAGCTGTATTATTATATGTAAATGAAAATACAGCTCTTTCTTAGGTAGACAGTTACCTAATCTGAGTTTGTCTATTTTTATTATGTGGGGAACAATATAGTGTCTTTTTGTTTTTTTCCTCCCAATGAGTGTTAGAGGATGAAATCTTTTTATGCCTACTTGTCAATTTTGGCTGGAGTGGAGTGGTATAACCATCAATGGTAGTAATCATCAACAATCTTCCTATTCTTCTGTCTGTAATTCCTAAAATTAAGATGCCTCTTAGATACTATTCATTGGCACAGGAGTGAAATATACCATCATAGGTCTTTCTTTGAAATTTGTGATAGACTATGGCCTTTAAGCAAAGTATTCAGATTTAAAGATCTTACTGAAGAGTAGTGTGTGCTAATGCCACAGCATCTGAGAAAAAAAATTTACAAATTCCTTTAGGAAGAGATACTTAGTTCTGTGCCATTGTACTGTTTTCTTCAGGTTTAATATAACTAATTTCTCTGCATCTAATGTTGAGTTAGGTTACGTATATATATATTCAGTAACTTGGTGTGTTTCGTAAAGAACATGGGAATTGTTGTGGATGATGTTAGGATAGGGAAAGATGAAATATAGGATAAATGTATGTCTAAGAAATACTAGCATTCTTTACCTTTACTTACAGTTTTGTTTAGTTCAAGGTAAACACACACACAGTGTGTCTTGCAGATACATTAATATTAGCAAACAGCTGAGACCTAAGTCAGCACTTGGACTTCATTCAAGCAAAATCCCGATACTTTTGATGGGCATGTGGCCCTAGAAATCTGTTAGAACTGGGTCTTAAATCAAAAAGCTTTTAGAATATAAAATATATTGTTCAATAAAAAGATTCTTAGGTTTTAGGGGGGATTTTGTGGGGTTTTTTGGGTTTTATTTTGGTGGGAAATTTCTGTGGACTCATCAATAATTTTAGTGGAAATTCTGTGGTTAAGTTATTGCATGTGACTTGAATTGTACAGACTGATGTTTCACAAATACCCAGTATGAAAACCAAAGCCTCCTTCAAGTGCCTATCTTGCAGTAAACCTGGTGGATGCTCTGAAAAGAGCATTTTTGAATACTTGAACTTGGGATTGTTCTAAATGCTAATTCACATAATTAGGAGTATAGAAAGGATGTTGCACACCACCAGCTTATATAGCTAAGCTTCCAAAATCAGTGTTATGACTCATAACGAATACTGAAATCTATGCAGGCTTCTCAATCAGTGTTCTTTTCAGTATTTGATTGAACTCTAAAATGCGCTTCAAATTAGTAAGTCATTACACCAAACAGCTACATAGAAATACAGCAGAAGACGACATGTTGTATTCTTCTATGTGAAAGACCTTTTTTGAAAAGCAAATAAACAGACAAAAACTCCTACTCAATGTCATTAGATTAACAATAGTTTAAATAATAAAAGAAATTAAGGCAAATTTACTGTGGTTATCCCAATTTTAAATTATAACAACTTCATTTAATCAGATTTAAAGCACAGCAGTGACAAATAACACAGGTTTAAAAATATGTATCAGTATAGGTTATGGGCAAAACCTTCAGTCTTCATTTCTAATCAAAATGCATTTAAGCATGTGCTTAACTTACATTTAACGTGGTAAAACTGAAGCAGACCCCTAAAGTCCAAGTGACTTGAGATGTTGTCTTCAAGAAAAAGTCATAAGCACACTGTAAGCACTTTTCTGAATCAAAATGATAATTTAAAAATTTTGGAAACGTGCACAGTTCTAGAAGATTCAGGAAAGTTGAATATATGTTAACACTGTCCTTGTATTTCTGTTCTCCAGCGGCAGGAATTAAGGATTTGGGGCTTGAATGACACATTAGCTACATTCCATGCTAAAGTATATTTTTAATCTTATACTCAAAAACATAAGCTCTGTGAAGATTGCTTTATTCCTTTTTCAGCCAATGGACTTCTTGCCTGATCAAGGAAAAAGTAACCAGGCTCCTGCTGATCAATGCACATCACTTAAGCTTTACGTGCCAAATCTAGTTGATGCTATCTTGCTCTGGAGTGTTTAAATTTGTAAGTTTGGAGTTTATGTAAGAGAAAAGAAAAGCTGAAAACATTAATGACTCTTAATTTGATACGCCGAGAGTGGCAATTTCAAGGTGCATAAGTTGATGGAAATCTGCATTGGAACAGCAGTGCAGAGCTTACGTCACCTGCAAATATTAAAATTCTGTAACCATAGCATTCCACAATTCTGCGTGCAGTATTATTTTTAGTGGCCTTGTTTCATCTCTCAGTATAAATAAAAAATACATACATTCTTTTGTATGCTTAGTTTGGTTTATGTGTTAGCATGGATATTAGTCTTGGGTGAGGACTAGTCATCTGGAAAAGTGTCTGCATGTAAAATTCAATTGTTTTCTAGTTCTGTATATTTGTATATCTATACTAAAATATTAGAAATGGTGATAATGTACAATGTATTTTTTCTATTGTTGTATAACTGAAAAATAGGTTAACAGATTTCTCTGAACTGTCTAAAGAAATTAATCTTTGAGCTGAGACCAAGCATGGAAAATTTCAGCTGAAAAGAAGAATTTTTCAGAAAGTTAAGAGCATGTGAAATCTGGGAGTTATAATGGACATCTGAACATAACCCTAAGCT